GAGATGAGAAGTATAGCAAATCATAAATATGTTTTAGATAGTGCAGTATTGTACTAATAAAGGTTGTTTGGGAGAATTCTGTTCTTTATACATATGTCATCGTGTCTGAAAATACACAGGGTAAAAGAAAGAAATATTCTCGTTGCTTGTGTCAACATTCTTAACAATATTTAAAGAGAAAGAGAATGTAGAAGTTATACTTTGTACTTGATACCCTTGACATTCTTCTTTTTTCTTTTCCTTTCTTAGAAGTAAAAAAAAAGAAATCCGTTAGTTTACATCAAATAGGCTCGATTACTTTTTTATTTTGATGTTAAAAGACAGTCATCTTTTAGTCAACATTTTAGATTGAAACAGGCAAAAAAATGCTGTGTATGATCATCTTTCTCTTACTGATTCTTTTCATTACGTTTAAACTATATCAACACTTTTTTCCCGCACCACTCGTCAATCCACAAGGTAAATATGTTTTGATTAGCGGTTGCGATACGGGTTTTGGGCATGAATTAGCCAAAGTTCTAGACGGGCAAGGCTTTAATGTATTAGCTGGAGTGTATTCGAATGAGTCAAAAGAAAAATTGGGCAAAAATTTGTCGAAGAAAGCCACCGTCTTCAAACTTGATATAACAAAACAGCAAGATATAGACGCTGCATTTGACCTAGTCAAGGCTAAAACAGATAATTTATATGCTCTGGTGAATAATGCTGGAGTGGGAAAAGGTGGTCTTATCGATTGGATACCGATGCAACTATATCGCGATTTAATGGAAGTTAACTTTTTTGGCCATGTATCGATGACAAAAACGTTTTTACCGTTACTACTAAAACAAGCAGGCAATCGGGTTATTAATTTAACGTCTGTTGCTGGTTATTTCGCTGGTCCAGCTTTGTCGCCGTATTGTGCGAGTAAATCCGCACTTGAAGCCTTCTCAGATTGTTTACGACGAGAAATGGCCACATGGGGTTTAAAAGTATCAATATTGGAACCCGGTTTCATGCGAACAGCAATTATCGAAGGACATAAAGAAACGTTGAAACGATTATGGGCAGATTTGCCTGTTGCCACTCAGGAGCGATGGGGTGAAGGATTCTTCAATAACCAGCTGCAGAATCGTACGAATAATGTTTTCATGAAACATGCCCAAGATCCAATTATTGTCGTTCGAGCTCTACAACACGCCGTATCGAGCACTCAACCAAGAATTCGTTACCGTCCTGGTTGGCAATCGGCATACTTTTTTTATCCGCTGTCGATGATGCCGGCTTGTGTTGGTGATTTTGTTTTGAGTTTAACCGGCACCAAAGGAGAGAAGCCCGCTGGTGTTTTGAAACGATTAGAACAAGCGGTAAAACAGTCACAACCAAATTAAACCCTATCGTTTTTCTTGACACAACATGTTTTTCCCGATGAAACTTAGTTTTCAGCCTCACTTTTTAGTTGTTTTTATATCGTTTGTGACAAATGAACTTAACAAAAGATTATACCGGTTGAACATAACCTAAGTAGTTGGTATTTTCAATCTGAAAAGTTAAAATATATCATTCTGCGATTATTGTCAATTGAAAGAGCCGATCTTAAGACGTTTTTTCACAACCAAAACTACTGTGCATTTCAAAATATAAAGAACACCGATGTTTTTTGAAAAACTTGAGAACGGAGTGAGCTAAAGAGCTGCGGCTTCCAGATTATGGAAGAGGACATCTGGAGCCATAGCTCTATGCTGAAATGAGTCTTATCTGACAGGACAGGCTTACCGCGGTATACCTTTCGAAGCAAAAAACCTGCCATTCCAAAGTTCAGCATAGCGAGATACTGCTCAAGTATGGAGCAAATGTCACTCTACAATCTAGCGCAACTCTCACACTTGCACCTACCATGGTTCGCATGCTACATGCAATCACCCAGGATCTACTTATCGGCCAAATCTGATCTCTAGAAACCTCAAAAACACATAGTATATAGGCTATCGGACACGCTGATTACTATGGCAATGTTTGTTTTGTTGTTAGGATTAAGAAAACTGCAGCAGACGAAGTATTCAAAAATTAGGAGTTTTCCACTGAGACCATACTAAATAAAAACCTTTTAGCGCCTTCGTTTATCAACCAAATTCTTTCAAATTATCAAAAAAGCTTAGTTTGAAGTCTTTCATCTCATCACAGAGACAAAGAAACAGAAAACTAAAAGGTACCCTGAAAGGTTTTTTAGACGAACAGTTAAGTTTCTCACGCAAGATTACAGTACGAAAACAAATTTTAGCGAACCACGGCCTCAGATGTCCTCTTTCATAATCTAAAAACTACAGCTCTCTAAGTCTTTCCGTTCTCAAGTTATTCAAAAAACATCTGTGTTCTCTATATTTTGAAATGTTAGTAACTTAATTAAGAAATCATTTTCCAAAGTAGCAATTTGATGAGACTGTTAGAAAACGGTGTCGACTTCCTATAATTTGACCTAGCAACATCTTAATTGTTGTGTGTGGATAGTGTTATACTTCTAAATATAATTTTGAATAATATTCTATCTCGTTTCCAAATGTTTAGTAGCTACATGTTCACACACTTGAAAAACAGAGCCATTTATATATAAAATTTACATATAGTTGAACACATGAGAATACATATACATATTCCCACGTGGTTTTAAGATGGCACAGAGAGAGAATAAGAAATGAAAATAAAAGTCAAGGTCTGTTTTGTGACCTAAAAGCAAGAAAGAGAAATGAAGAAAGGCAAAAGAAAATAACCAGAAACGTGCTTTGTTCTGCTAAAAATCTTTTTAAAGAAAAATTATATTCTATAACAGCATGATATAAGATTATTTTAAATCGTCATTCGGTTTTGCAATTAATACACTTAATACGTCATTGTTATGAAAAGAAGTTTGACAGTAATACTGTTAAAGGGTGGAACAAAAGTCCTGACCCGATTTGAATAATAAATTTTTTTATAATGAAACAAGTGACAGTAAATTTGTCTCTATGAAGAAACGATGCAGTAAAAAACGCTCTACAAGATGACTATTGATTGACCCCGTTAGCTCATCTAGTAAGAATATTATAGGCTTAGAAATGTGCTTCATAAACAAGAAAAATCAACCGGTCTCGGTATTTTTGCTTTAACTCTTGTTCCTTAGGTCCCCTAGAATAAGTTCTTTTTTTAACAGAAGCGTCGTGAAATTCTCTACAAAATCGTACCTAAACTTTAATTTCAGAACTTCAATCAAGAAAACTAAGCAAATTATACACGAGGCGAAAAAGATAAAAACTTTGTAAATTTGGTTTGTTTTACTTAACCTTCTTCTTCTCCTATTATTTCCGTAAAAAAAGCGGAGCAAAAGCGACAACACAACTTGTGTTGGGTACTTTCAAATGTGCTCTTTCTTGTGGTTTGTAAAAAGACTATTTAGAGCAGATGGTGTGCTCGAGAATCAAGTTTCAAAAATATATTAAAAATCGACAGCCCCGTTTCCAACAGTGTACCCAGCAAGAAACGGAAAACGTGATCGAAGTTTTGATGTTGCAACTAGGTAGAGAAGAGCAATCATCTCTGATCAAAGCAAAACAAACCCGATCGAAAAACGTTTTGTTTTGATGAAGTTATGGGACTTTTAATGAAAGCACCACCATATGGACTGGGTTCACGGTTGATTTTTCTTTTTTGTGAAGCACATTTCTAAGCCTATAACATTCTTACTAGATGAGTTAACGGGGTCAATCAATAGTCATCTTGTAGAGCGCTGTTTACTGCATCGTTTCTTCATAGAGACAATTTTATAATCACTTGTTTCACTATAGAAAAATTTATTATTCAAATCGGATCAGGACTTCTGGCCCACCCTTTATAGTGCATCCTCATGTAAGAGTACAAAAAGGTCTTGTACGTCCCAATAAGATGTTCTTCCGAAAGCAAAACTGTACTCTCTTTTGTTTCTTTATTTGTATATTTATCAGACTAACTGGAAAATAAAAAATTTTGATTTAATTATAACTTTATTGTGTAATTGAGGTTCACAATTTATTATGAATAATATCTCAAAGCGTGAGAGTGAGCCGCTTAATAAGTTCTTCCAAGCAAGAAGTGCACAACAGTCGAGATCTACTGATGGATAGAATAGAAATAGCATCAGAGAAGAAGAATCCAGCACACTTTGTAGAATTTCAGTGTGAAAGGGATGAAAAGTAAGTTATGAAAGCGATAAAAAGTATGAAAAGAATGAAAAGTATGAAAAGTACGAAAGGGATGAAAAGTATGAAAGGGATGAAAAGTGTGAAAAGTATGAAAGGGATGAAAAGTATGAAAAGTGGGGGGATTGAATAAGACTAAATTAAAGGAATTGGTAGCTAAAATTTGATCGATGCTGCTGCCACATATTAGACAAAAGTACTTTACACATTTTTTGTGTATTCTAATCGCCCTCGAATATCTTTCACACAGTTTGATTTTGAGAACTGATATTTACTAGGAGTTCTTCCGCACAGGTTCACCCACTTTATACACGACCTAAAGCCGGGAAGGTTTGACTATATGCAATCGATAGTCCTACTAAAGGTATGTAAAGATCCGTGTCGCCTCTCTCGAAAACTACACATCAGTTCTTCGAGATCTTGTTAGCCTGCACACTACTCGACTAGTGCTACAAAACGCGCAAGGTATTGACTTTGGTCAGGTAGTTTTTCTTGCGGTGGTTTTCTAGAAATCCTCTCAAAATCCTATCATCTTAAGACCAGGAACGGGAAAAAATACTAAATTAGCCATAAAATGGCATACTGAATCCGAATTTCAGGTTAGTTTGGATTCAATATTTATGAGCAACAGAGGATTTTGAGGGGATTTCTAGAAAACCGCCACAAGAAAAACTACCTGGCCAAAGTCAATACCTTGCGCGTTTTGTAGCACTAGTCGAGTAGTGTGCGGGCTAACAAGATCTCGAAGAACTGATGTGTAGTTTTCGAGGGAGGAGGCCAAGACGGGCCAAAGTAGGTCTCCAGGTTACGCTTATTTATTAGAAAGAATAAGTTCTGTTCTGCAAGATGTATAACTGCTGGAAGATTTGAAGTTGAAATTCAAATAAAAATGTTTAAAATTTTAAAAAGTGATGAGCTGTTAAAAAGTTAAATTGCTCAAAACGAAGCTTTACACAAAACTTTTTGGAAAGAAAAAGACATATGGTTTTGTTCAGTTTTTGATGCTCTCTTTTTAACGCACTAGTCGATGTTGAAGTTAAGATGAATTTAAAATTACCATTAAAAGTAAATATTTAAAAATAATTTTTGACTGTGGTACAAAACTTTTTGAATCATTTTGTACAGGATGAAATTGTATCCAGTGATGTGTTTTTCATTCCTTTTGAGTGAAATTTCCAGTCCAGGAAAGAAAATAATAAAATATCTTAAAATTTTGTTCGCTGCAGCAAAAATGTTTCCACGCCCATTCCACCAGATTAAATCCGATCTTGAAAATTTTTAAACGCCAAGTAGACCTGATCGTAGTGTATTAAAATCAAAAAAGAATTCAATTCTAGCTTATGTAGAAAAAAGATACAGCGTACAGCGAAAATAAAAAATGTCTTAAAATTATTCAGCGAGAATTCAGCAGTAGAATATGCGAATCTTTATCTTTTTTTTGAAAAGCTGTGTTTAGTGAAAGACATATGAATAGAGAAGCGGAAGAGTTGATATGAAACACGATTGTATCCTTATAATGGAAGACTTTTGTAGAGTGGAAGCATAGAAGAGTTTCACAAAACCAAAACTCCTAAGCTTTTTTTATATGCAGCCAAATTTGCGAAAGCATCTTTTATTTCATTGTTTCCCTATATCTGTCACAATATCACAATTCACAAAAACAAAAAGCTGAAATAATTTATTTAGTTAGTAACTAAAAGGAAACAAATTACAGTCTAAATTACAAAATAAAGTCTCTGTTTTTCGAAGTTCTTTTGTAAGTCTTGATCGCGGCATGCTCTTCGAGTTCCGCGATTATTTCTTGATATATTACCGTAGAAAACGTACTTGTGTTGAAGTACTTGCGACCAGCACTCCATTTGTGTAATGAAGCCGGTACTTGTGTTTTTTCCAGAAGTAAATTTACTTGTAGGTACCTGCGAGCGTGCAGGTACTTGATTTTCACTTGACAAGCACTTGTTCAAGCGCTTGTCAAGTAAAATTGCAAGTACTTGGATTGTTTTCAAGATAATATTATTCGAGTTTCTCTCCATTGTCCATTAATATTCACTTTGTGAACTTATATTATTCTATGTCTGACGTCCACAAAGAAAATACATTTTCCTAAGTATAGGTATAATATTCATGTAAATAGATAGTGGCGTGCGCTCCTGACCTGCCTTATTCAAGCAACTGCTGATTTT